AGGAAGTAATGGTAACACTTTTCACAATAAATATTAAATGATACTGAGATGACAATACTATGGAACATTATGCGTCCATGTGTATCATAAACTGACAGTGCTAAATTGTCCTGATATTGTCCGTTCATATATTTTTGGGTGTATTATGTGTGCAGTTTTATATATCCTCCGGCTATCTGACACTGAGTCACAGACAATAAAAAAAAAAGGCAATCCTCTTCCCCTGCCATGCCTTTTACACAGGCTAGTCACCAACAGTCCTATCATAATTCAAGCACTGTGACATGTCAAATTCAGTCAACAGACAAAACAAACAGGCAAGTGGTAGGCACAGCTGGCTTATCAATCACCAACAGTCAAAGCGTACATGTAGCTGTATCAACTTACAATGTACATAGTCCCAGCCAGTCAATCCTTCTTTACATGTATGTTGGCTGGGGGCTCTTAACTGTTGAAAACAGTCACTTGATGGATTTTGCCTGAAAGGACAACTTGACTCAGAATGTATGTTTGCATGGATGGGTTTTAATCACATGTACATGTACTACACAGTAAACACGCGTATACACCTTTTCTGCTTTGTGAACATTTACATGTACATACCAGTGTATAAGTGACTCTTTTTCTGCTGTATATTACATACATGTATAGCAGTGATGTTTTCATATGTTTTCAGTGTGTGCCTCATATATCACCCTCCGGCTATCTCATTACCGGATCAGTCAGTGACCGGCCTTATCCCTGCCAAATCACTGCTCAGGCACGTCTTTTATGAGATTAGATCCAGGAGCACAATATATCCATGGATGTGCATGTGCATCATGTGTGGCTGGGTTTTGCCATGGAAACGCATCATTGCCTAACTGTAAATTTGACCACCTGTGGGAAGTAGGAATAAGAAAATGTCTCAAGGGAGACAATTAAGTTATGAGAGCTTTGAAATTCAAAATGTTCTGTCTCCTGCAAAGCTGGGAACATGTACATATAAAGAGGTTTTGCAATCGTCCATTGATGTGCACATGTACATGTACGCGTATTTTACATTGTATTTAGCTATCCAGCATGAGAGGAGCCGTTATCTACAACATGTATGGGCTCCGTGCGCCAACAAAAGAGGGCGCCCTTTTACCTAGCAATGACGTCCCATGGGCGGGACATTTAGCTGGTTGACGCGCACCGTTCCTTGTGTGTGACGCACGTACACCAGGGGATTTGTACTATGTACACGCAGTGGTGCGGCCGCGTGTCACGTCAAAATTACAGTCAGGCAAGATGGCGTCGGTCGGTCACCCTGCAACTGCACTTTCTTTGCCGGTGAGGGGGTACTTGTGAACAGAGCGGATAGTTTGGCAGAGTGGCACTAGTGGACTCTGCATGAAGAGTAGATGGTGCTTTTTGACCACTTTCGAGAGGCCCAGATGGAGAAACACGCTGTGTACGCATGACTGAATATGCACAAACCCATAGCATCTTCGCGTGAGCATCAGGAGTCATCAGCGTCAGGAGTCATCAGCGTCTGGAGTCATCAGCAATGCGTTTAAATGTCCCTCCCAGTGATCTCCCCCAACTCTCCCTTTCTAACCATTGAGGGTGTAACTTGAGCACCAATTCCATTATCGACAATGGCAGCATCTGATGAAAATCCCCTGTTCCCGACTATTTAACCTTGCTGTGTCTCATTAGTGTAGCGATACTGTTTTCTAGTCCAAGTATGCATGATTGGATACTGTGAACATTGTACATGTACATGTACATGTACATGATCTGATACACCGTGCCCTCTGGAGACGTGTGTACAATAGGGAACTAAAGATTGTATACATGTACGTCTCCACAGGGCAATTTCTATAGATGAATACGTCTCCACAAGGTTTTCACGAAATAGATATATATGGATTTTACTCAAAAACTAGGAATTTCCAAGCTATGTTGATCTGTCGCAAATGGGAGAGTTTCAGAAAAGGGATATTAAGTCCAAATTTCAGCCAAGGAAATTAATTCTGGTTAAAGTAAGAGCATTTTTAAACTACACTTTCAAACTCGAAAACTTTAGTACACGAGAACAGAGGAATGTCTCCACAGGGATACAAATTCCAGTATTGTGTGTTAATGTGATGAATTTTTAACACGGATGCATCTGTGCAGTTCACATTCATGCAAGTTTGTAAAACTGCACTGTGTACAAGTACATGTAGAAGATAGGTGATGGCCTCCAAAATAAACTGTCACGGTATCCGGCCTTCCAAGTAAAACTTCTCCTGATTTGTTACATCTTTGCTCACAGTCTTACAACCACTAGGGGTTTGTGTGAAGGGGTCTTGAGGTTTGAGAAGGTGGATTTTGTTTGTCTGTATTGTAACACATGATGGTCAGCAATCCTAATAACCATGCTACATTTGTAAATCTTCAAAATCCGACACCCTGGTTATTTTGACTGTACACAGTGTACATGTACAGCTCAGCTAGGCTACAGTTACTTTACATATGGGATTGATTCTGTTTTCTGTATTACATGTACATGTACATGTACATGTAGAGCCTACATGTATAATAAAGAATCAGACCGGCATATTTTTACTGTGCACAGAAAGGAATAATTTTGGAGGGTTCAGAAAAGTTTCCAGCAATGAAAAACTGAGAAAGTACAGCTTTAGAGCCGGATGTCAGTGGCAGGATGAATCACGTTTTTGTTTCCACTTTTGTTTGGGAAGAAAAAAGCTTTTAAAGTTGATGAATTCCCCCTAATCCGGCCCCTGGATTAATACTGTTTCTCTCTTAGTGTCGCACACATACATGTCGTATCATGCATGCAAATGTCCTCATCCTTATTATTCAGTTATTACTTATTTAGCATTGCCCCGGGGTTTGTCTGTGAAATAAGAAACCTCATGGATAAAAAGTTAATCACGGCCATCAAATATTTACCCGAGAATGAGAGTGGGTGGGATCACATTTCTCTATATACATCAAAAAGAAGTCGATAGATGGGAAGCTTATGCTTTTTAAAACCTCCGTACCGGTAGCTTGTCCTTCGGTGAAATATCCTTAAAGAGAAAATACAACATCTGCAAACATCAACAAAATAAAATTACCAAATTATTATGAAATAACTTGCTGGACTGTTAGTGAATGACAGTCTAAGGCATCCTGTAAAATCATGGCACCTGGTGTGCTGTCATTTTCAAGAAAAGTGGTATTTTTTTATCAATTTCCAACGCTGGTCGGCCGACCAGCGTCGGAAAAAAACTGGCTTTTTTCAAATACTGGCCCAAATTTACATATTTAGTTAGTCCGCATATGTTTGCAATCGATTACACACCTACGAACGGGTACAAGCCAGCTAGACTGGTTCCCTGACCTTACAATTACCCAATGTCTATAAATTGCCCCGTTTGATCTTAAATGGAGTCAGAGAACCAGACTACAGGAAAAGAATTGTTTTTCTTGGGTTTTTATAGCATCTATGAACCCAAAACTTCAAAAAAGTCAGTGTAACAATATTTGCTATAGGTTACCAACCCACCAAATCCATCCATTTCTGAAAATTACAGCAAAAGCAAATGATGTATATTTTCTTTAAGCTCACTTTCATCATTACAAAGGTAATTGTGTATAAATAGTTTATGGTCTACAGAATAAGCAGACTGAAAAGGGTTTCCGCATTGTTTAAGGTAAACAATTGTTTTATCAGTATTCAAGCTTACTTCTTTTGACTTGCTCCCATAAAAAAAGGAGAGTGAAGTCACTAAGTATCAGTCAATTTGTAACCATCTCTTTTCTAACCACTATCATTCAAAATGCCATCCATTTCAAGGGAAAAACTCTGCATCTATTTCAGGTGAAAAACTCTGAGGCTGGAAATAGTGTTGAGTGGGTTAATATACAAGGTGTGGAACAAAAAAGTGAAAGCCTGCCTGAGAACATCCCATGATAGTACCCCCTGCACAAACTCAAGGATGCATCACTAGGGCATCTTAAACAGTAAGAGGTTTGAAAGAAGCAGCTAGACCCTGTTCCACAAAACTGCATGTTCCTTGTATGATGACAATTTAGGTCGGAGAGATGTAAATTGAATATTTGGTTTTGCCCCTCATACCGACGTACATGTACAGTACCTGTCATTTCATAAGCACTTGCATCTCAATGCTGTCCAAGAGCTTCAAAGAAAAATTCATATGCTTGCTAGTACTGACGTCTTGACCACTTGACCACTCGTTTGGGTCAGCTTACCGGTTTCAAATCTGATTTACAGCACCAAAAGTTACCACAATGATTATCTTGTACGAGGTATTAATTGTGAATATTTATATTGTAAATTGTGTGTGTGTGGGTAGGCATTACATTCACTGTGTAGACTTCCGAACAAGAGAGCTCCATATAAACCAGGTAGAGGCGACGTTGTGTGGACTTGGGCAAGTCCACACAGTGTTTCCCCATTTCTGGAAAACAGGTTTAGAGGCATTTTTGGGTTAGGTTTATGTGTAGCAGAATGAAGAGAAACACTAAAGGGAATCATAGAAAAAAAATTGGGTTGAAAGAGTTTTCACAGTTTGCGAAAAATGAGTTTTTTTCACTGGTTTTTCTTGACTACACGAAAGCAATGGAATGTCCACACTTGGTGTGTAATGTAAACATGCATAGGGATATTAAAGTTTTTGGGATTCATTATGGGGATAAGATTCAAGGTACGGTATATGGAATGGGGATTAGGGAGTCAGACAGGAGTTTATCTGTGGCAAAATGAAGAGAAACACTAAAGAGGATCATAGAAAAAAAATTGGGTTGAAAGTGTTTTCACAGTGAGAGTAAAATGATTTTTTTTTCGAGGCTTTTCTTAACTACACGAAACCAATGGAATGTCCACACTTGGTATGTAACATAAACATGTGTGTGTACATGTATGTACGTGTTTGTTGGTGAAGGGCAAAACCTAATATTAATTAAACTGCATTTTACTGGGTTTGCCATAATGAATTCGCACATTTCTATGTCTTTTTCAGGTATCAAAGTTGGCGAGACCACACCAGACAAGCTGTTCACACTGAATGAGGTGGAGTGCCTGGGTGCCTGCGTCAATGCCCCCATGGTGCAGATCAATGATCATTACTATGAAGACTTAGAAGTCAAAGATATCAACGAGATCCTCGATGACCTGAAGGCAGGGAGGTCACCCAAACCAGGACCCAGGTAGGTCTCAAAATCTCATCTTGACCTTTGTTGTATTTAGTCCTGGGTACTGTAGTCTGAAAAAAAATTTGTTATACCTCTGTCTTTAATACTGTATTTTCATTGGCCTAGAACGGTCACGTGTTAAGTTTATAAAAAGTCATGGCACATTCCCTGTGTGATATCCCTCAGGGAGTGTGCTATGACTTTGTACATACGTACGTACGGTTTGAAACGCTTTTATCGTTGGTACCCATGCTATTTTTACCATGTTTTCACACATGAGTGGGAGCAGTGAACTAGCAGACGATCAGCTGTTTTGAGCACGCGACATGCATGTGAGTTGGCGTTTGATTGTTGTGTTTACAGCTGTTTGTTTTCGGGATTTTTACATCAAAATCCAAAGAATCCAAGACAGAGGTACATTGTATAACAAAACAATTTCGCCGAAGGTGCTATGCGCCCCGAGGGTGTTCAAAACGCCATATCCCGCATCACAGCGGTCAACATTTGTTAATGAAATTGGGTGTCACTCAATTACTGCCTTGCATATAATTTGCATCTCAAAGGGGTAGCATGTGGTGCAGCACCTGCTTAGGGACCGTGACCATTCAGCCCCGGTATGAAAAGGGCCCCCCGGTAAGCTCGTCCCCTCCCAAGAAGTCTTTTCGCACCGTCCCAGCTACCGGCCCAGGAGCTGGTCCTGTTGCTAATCAGGAACTCCTCTATCCTGGGGTCTATTGTTTGCAAGTATTGACACATGTAATATCCCAGAAGAAACCCGCCTGTGGTTTTCATCTCTCAGCGCGAAACAATAGAACACTTTCGTCAGCACAGATCAAAACCCCTGCCATGCGGTTTCGCGCACAATGGGACCGTAAATTACCAAGGCGTTATGGAAGGATTTTATCTTTAATCCGGTAAGTCTGCTATTGTTCTGCTCTGGAGGTTCTCTGAAGGGCAATAAATTGATGCGCCTGACTGACTTCAAAACTTCTGGTCAGACAGGACCATGTACCGGACGAGACTGGGCTGAAGACCGGACTGGCTCTGGACCGGACGAGGTACCGGGGGGCCCTTTTCATACCAGGACTGAATGGTCACGGTCCCGTAGGGTGTGTCCTACATGTATTATGCAGCATTTTGTGTCCTCCAGAAAGCTCAGAAGGCTTTTAATTACCAAAGGATAAAACCAGTGATTTATTTTTTCATTTCTGGCAGGGTAGATTACTACATACAAGTATGTACTCCTCTGTTTTTGTCTTAACTTGTACATGTACACAATGTAACGACAATTTGTTGACTGCAGTAATGCATGACGTGTTTTTTTTTTTAACAAGATTAGCATTATCTCACCGCTAGTCTACCCCATACATATTTCCCTCAGGTGGAACATGCCATCACACATCAAAGCAGCGAACAATATAAATTTTTCAGGATTTTGATGGTCTGAGCCCCATACATAACACATTATTTCTGCCACATACCGGCACATGTATCCTAAGGGGGCATTCGGCTCTAAGAAAGAAGACCCTCAGGTGTAATTTTATTGGGTGGATATTGCTCTAGCCTGGAGCAAGGAAATAAAGATTTGTAGATATGTACATAATCCAGTCGAACCTGTGGGGTTGCACTGCATATGTCCATAGGCACGTCATTGATTTGCAACATACATATACCAGCATGTGTAATTTGGTACATACATGTAGGTCATTCCACCGGGTTGGGGAACAAAGTGTGACATACATGTATGACCATTTTAAGAAAAGCATGAATGCCTTGCTAGCAGTTGCTCTACATAATATTTGTTGTTGGGTGTTTCACTACTGCAGAAAGTTTGAAATCATTTCAATGTATTTTGCCAAAAATATGAGCAAAAAATGTCATTTTGGATGAAACATTGACACCGTGTCAGTGTTACGTCCAAATATGACATTTGTTATCTTTTTAAAAAATGTCTGCGAAATATTACCCAAATTTACTTTGCATACTTCTTACTATAGATGCAACACAATAAGAAAAGCTTTTGTTATGGTAGTCCGACATCAAATGGAGCAGAAATGATAGCTTGTTTGTGTGGATGTAACATTTACACGGTGTAAACCCTAAATGTCACACTTCCATTGAGTGATTTTTACACCGTTACATCCACACTTGAGGTATTGTTTCTGCCATATTTGAACCCTGACTATACCAAAACAAAAGTTTGTCTTAGTGCTTACACATGTAGGTGTCCAGTTGTAAATATGCAATGTCAGTTTGGGTAACATTTTACATACGTGTAAAATATGGCCAAAAAAAAAGTTTGGATGTAACATTGACACGGTGTCAATGTTACATCCGAATTAATACATTTTTGCTCATATTTTTGTCAAAGTACTTTCAAATGATTTCAAACTTTCTCATATATTTAAACACCCTAAGTCAAATATTATGTTACGCAATTGGTTAGAATGCATTGATACTTTTCATAATATAACCAAATATATGGATGTAACATGCACTGCTTCCCAACCCGGTGGAATGACCCACATACATGTAAGGCTAAAATTATTCTTGTACATGTACTTCCAAATTTTACAATTTTTTTTTCTTCAAAAATAGGGTCAGTAGGTCGGGAAGTTTTCTGATTTTGCTATTTTTTTGGGTGATATTTTTAAATGGAGTATTCTTACTCTATGCTTATTTTCGGCCCAACATTTTTTTCAGTTTCATTTATTTTCTGAAAACACGTTATATGCATTATCTCTGAAAATGAACAATACATAATACACATAAATGAGAGATCAAGTTCTGTGAATTAACTCACAGAAATCTTTCTCCATCTATGTATGCTTGCCATTTTTACAATGTCAAATTTGACCATTTACACAACATACATATGTGGGGCATTTTGGCTATCATCTTTATAGCGCACGGCAAGGTCTGCCATTACTGCATGGCCTATGCATGTGCCTTCACCACCACTCAGGAAACTGATCGAGTTGGGGATAATAATAAGTGTTTTGACGTAAAAAGGTCATTGAGAAGCATTTTCGATAAGACATGAATGCATTTTATGTACTTTATCTTTAACTTGCCGATAAAAATTTTAGGGTCAAGCGGTAAGCAGAAGTAATTTCTTTTCGGTGGGAGGTGGGAGGGGGGAGGGCTTTTACATGTATAGGCAGAGATGATTGTTGGTTTTGAATATACATGTAAGCAGCCTTTTTTTACTAAATGCGGACATTTAGCTGAACTCCTCCCAAAAATGAGATGGTCCGTGGACCGTCTTTCCCAGTGGTGGCTTTAATACATGAAATGGTGGTCCAAGACTAGATTAGGATCTTGTTTCCCTAATGCAGCCCGTCCAATCCCTTGCAAACTACATGTATACAGTCCAGCTGCCGTGGTGGTAATTGTAGACGGCGTTACATGTACATGTGTATCAACAAGACAGATCAGATTCAGTCTTAGAAAATTGGGCTTTCAGACCCAAGAAATTCTGAGCATCAATAGCTCAAATGGGCAAAACCTAATTTCGACACACACCCGTCACAAATCCATCTTATGAGTAACTTCTGAGCACCCTTAGAGTGCACTTTATTTGAGCTACATGTACATGTACATGTATACATGTAATGTACACTGAAAACATGAATGTCTAGGTGTGTACGTGTACATTGTGTGCATTGTCACATTACCGGTACCTGCTTCCGGTTATGTTTTTACAGTGTTGCTATACCAGAAAAGCTACCCTCATTGGGTTACTGTGGGTCAAAGGTATACAAGTTACACTCTTGTCAAGGAGATGGTTACGTTTGTAGTGCCTTTGCCTCTTGGTCTAGAGCATTGAATTTGTAACCTGCGGGTAATTCTGGGGTATGGTGCGTGTGCCCTTGGGCAAGGCACTTTAGTCACTCATTGCTTCTCCCCACCTACCGGTAGGAGTAAATGGGTACCGGTGAGGGCAGAGATGGTTATTGTGATTGATTTTAGCTGGTTTTGCGCTGAAATGGCTGTGTCCAGCTGTATATTCCCAAGGGGGCTGAGATTGTGTTTCATTGGCCCAATGAGCAAGGTAATAATGATGACATAGCGCCTTGAGCACCAATACTGGTGGATGCTTGCACCATATATTGTCACCGACACCACGAAATAACACTCTACCGTGTTAAACCATATTTTTTTTCGATTTTCAGTTTTTTTGATTTTGAAACATTATTCATCAAGGCCTACTATTGCACGAAGTTTCAAAGCTTCAAGAGCTTTTCTTTAATAATTACGCTAAGTATCCATGGCAACTTTTGCGCAAAAGTGACAATTTTCGTTTTCACGAAGTAACACTCAAGTTCCATTTTCCATTGCAATGCATGGTGCGCACTCTGCTCATAAGTGAACAAAAACGTTTTCACGAAGTAACACTCTTCTTGTAACAAGTTGTATGAGCGCGCGCGCGCTGACCTGAAGTTACACTTTCCTCGTGTTAAATACATTGAAGAGTGTTACTTCGTGAAAACAAAAATTTACAGTTTCGCAGCTTTTTCGGTATCACGAACTAACACTCATCTTTTTTCTCTTATTTCTTGTTTATTTAATTCACAAACGAGTGAAAAATAGCAGATTTAATAAATTCAATTCATCAAGTGTCCACAACGAGAAACCCAACTGAAAATACTCTGTCGTTTTGACGCAAAGTGTTGTTTTAGAAGGCGTTCAACTTTAGTTGCCGTTTTCTCCGATTGCTAGTTTTTACTGGTATGTACTGTAGATGGGTGTTACTTCGTGGTGTCGGTGACGATATATGCTCATTATTACATGGTACATGGTACATTTGATTGGGTTTTGTGAAATGCTTCTATAAAACGAGTTGCAGCATGTTACGCATGCATCTCAAGTTGACGTGTGACCCATCTTGTGAAATCGGGCTCGTGACTGGTTTGAATTATTAGTCTACATGTATTTATCCCCAGCACTTGATGAAATGTCCATGAATTATGAGCACTTTAGCAAATTGGACCTGTTTCATTAGACACATTGCC